TATTAACTTTTACATGTTTAAAGTCATCTCTATTAGACATTGGTTATCCTTGAAGTCTTATTTTGTTTCTTTTATTTGATGTTTAGGACATATATTATGTAAATCTTATTAGATAAAAGATTGGAGACAGATCTTGGAAGCAAAAAGAGAAGTTAGGGCATCTACATGAATGAATAGAGATGGATGATGAAAATCTCCATTCCTATTGGCCAAAAATCATATCCAATAGGCTTCAAGGAGGTTGCTTGAGGCCTTACTAGGAATTAGGCTTATTCTTTCGAAGTCATTCAAGCTTTGGAGGCTAGGATCAGCAAGTTTAGATTTTTGGCTATGGTTTTGGTATAAATTGTGTGATTTGGAGTTTATATAAAAGAGATATGGACGCTCAAAGTTAAGGTGCTGATTTTGTACCTACTATCAATCTTTTAGACATAATGCATATATACAGAATGCAATAAAAGACCAAAAACTAGGATTAGAGAGAGCACTTTCTTAGCTATATTTTTAACATATTTTTTAATAGATTTTAAGTTGAAATAAAGGAGATATTGGATGTTGAAGTTAGTGCTTGTAATCTAAAAGAAGTAAGTGACCTGATTTACTAATAGTTGTATTTTGAACTATATCTTGAGCAATTTGATAAGTTTTTGACTCAAAATTTTCTAGAATGTGTGTAATTACGTTAATAAATTTTATGCATAAATTTTGTAGTATTTAAGTTTTGAATTTTTGAGATATAAAGAAAATAGTGCTCAAGTACTTATAAGTTAGGATTTAGAGCACCCGCTAGGATTTCTAAGATGCTAAAAGATTAGTAGTGATTTTACAATTTATTTTTTATAATAAAGCTTAAGGATAATAGCTAGGTTATATAAAAATTTGAGAGAAACTAAATAGTTGGATCAAGAGATATGAATTTTTAAAATTCAAGAAAAAAAAATCTTTTGCAAGAAAAATATGTTTTAAAGGATTTTGCTACAATTTAGGCATTTTATATAAAGAAAAGAGGTTTTGTAAGCCAAGACTTTGTATATAATTTAAATGGGGAATAAAAAATTTATTAGAGCTTAGCCAATTAGTTAAAGTTAAACTCTCTACAGATAAATATCTTATATATTTTTAGATTATAAATCACTCTTGACAACAATGTGGCACATATAAGAAGATGTATAGATTTGAAGGACATAGATGTCATATTGCAATTGCTTATAGTATGTAAAAGTTAATTAAAATATATAATATGTTTATAAGTCTTGATGTATATAAGAATGATTAATAGGTTAATTTAAAGAAAGTTGATGTAAAAAAAATATTTTAAAATTTACTTATTTTTATTATAGTATTTAAGTTATATAGGATTTAGATACTTAATATAAATTTTAGAAAAGATAGAAGCTCAAAAATGAAGATCCAAACTACTAAGAAGCTTATTTGGAGAAATAAAAGCAAGATATGGATGGATGAAGGCTAGGAATGAAGGTCTTCATTCTATTGGTTGAAGGCCATACCCAATAGGCTTTCAATAAGCTACCTCCAACCATAATAAGGATTTTGGTGACTTCAAAAGAAGTATTCAAAAATCAAAATTAAGGGTTCTATGGTTTAGAATTTAGACAATAATTAGTATAAAAAATTTAGAGGATTTGAAGTTAAAGTAAAGAAGTTATAGCCATTTAAAATTAAGGCGTCTTTTAAGATGTATTGTTGTTCTTTTGAGGATATAAAAAATTATATGGAAGCTTTTGGAGATTGAGAGATGCAATCACAAGAATGATTTTAAGATCATTGTCTTTTGTAAAAGAATTACTACATTTGGAGTTTTTATAAAGAAATTATAGAGCATTGAAGACAACACATGTAATTTGAAGGCAAAAAGTGAGTCATTTTATTGATAATAATGATTAAAGCCATATCTTGAGTTTTCAAATGAATTTTTGGCTCAAAGTTTTTGAAAGTGTAAGTTATTAGGTTAAAAAGGTATATATCAAAATTTTATAGTAATTGAATACTTAATTTGTGAGATATAAAGAAAATTACACGTAGATATATATAAGAAAGGATTTAAAGCTATTGTTAGGATTTTGGCAATATTTCAAGATCCGTAATAAATTTGTAACTAAAATTTGTTTTTGTAGTTGTTTTAAATATATCAATACTTCATGTAAAATTTTAGTTTTTTTGAATAGTTAAATTGTGAAATATGACCTATTGAAGTTTGGAAAAAATTCACCTTAAAGATATATAAGGATTTAGAATATTTTTATAACATATTGGATGTTCTTTGGCATTTAGAGCTTATGTATTGATGTAATTACTCCTATAGAAATAGTTTTATAAATAAACTTGGTACTTTCTTATTTTAAGACTTGATTAAGCAATTACTGACAATCAAAAGTCTAATGCTTTCTTGAATCAACTTTCTCTATTCCAACAAAGTTCTATTTGCTTTTTTCTTTCTTTCTCTATTTTTCCTTCTATAATTACTTTTCTCTTCCTACTCTCTTCTATTAGTTGTCAACATTTTTTTTCTATTTTTTATTTTATTTTTTGAATTCACTACTTTGAATTTACACTCACCCTCTAATTTATTTAATTTATAATGGAATAGATCTATTATAAAAGACATTGTAAATCTACATTGGCTCAATTAAGAATCAATTATTTATTTTTAAATTCTTTCTCAAAGAATATTATAAAAGACCTATTCTAGCCACTACATCTTATTAATTATTATTTATCTCTTATTCCTATATCTATTCTCTAATGAGTGAATTTGGATACCATAAGTGTTTATTTTTTGTACTAAAATAACTAATGAGTCAATTATGTGACTCACATATAGTATCTAAATAGAAGCTACATGACAACATTCCATAGGAGTTCCAACATGTGTCCAATTTGCAAGACATATGTCTTAACTTGCAAGACAAGTTTCTTATATATACACCACATTATTAGCTTGTACTTCAAGCTACTAACAAGTGTGATATGTAACTAACATATTAGCCAAATGTTCAACCTATCAATCACCTATAGACACATATAAAGATGAAATTGTGTCTATGAAGCTTCTAAAAGCTTTTCTCCAAGATATTATCAAATTAATCTACTTTTACCTATTTCTACTTATTCATATTATCTAGATAATTATTAAAGTACATATATATATATATATATATATATATATATAATACATATTTTCTTTTATAATTTTATTCCTTTTTTTGTTTTTTATAAATCTAAAAACATTGAATTGATTTTGTAACTCTTTTTAATATAAGAGTATGATCTTTTTGCATAGTACTATGGTCTAAAGTAGAGATAAGTGGTGAAGATCATATGATGTAGCGAGATAATGAGTCAATATGTCAATTATTGGTTTATTATGTATTTTACTTAATTAAGATGTCTATTAGATAATTACAATGTCTTTGTAACACTCAAACTCTTATCATTATTTTCATCATGGTATAAAAAATATATTTTTAATATTAGTTTTTTTTTCTTTTTGAAATTTATATATCCAAGTGTTACATTGTGCAATCTTGATACTATTGTTTAGACTCAAACTGAGGATTTGAATATTGAATGCTATATTGTAAGGTGTCAAGGACATGAATCTTTTAGAAAGAAATCCTCAATATACTCTTATATCACTGAAAAGGACTAAAAAGTCACTCAAAGATAATATAATATTAAACTAGAATGGCTATTGCCAAAAATAAGAAGACTAAAAAGTCTTGAAACATGACTAAGGACTAGAAAGGCATTGACAAGAATGAAGAAGGCTTCACTCTTGCTTCCATATATACTCTTAACTAGGAGCTACATAGAGATGTCCTATAGGACCTCCAAAACATGTTGAATTTATAAGATACATATCTTAATTTGCAAGGCAAGTTTTTTATATGTGGGCCATATACTTAACTTGTTTCATAAGCTACCAACATGTGGTTAACTTGTTGATCAAGTTTCTAACTTGCCAATCAACTACAAATACATATAAAGTCAAAGCAATGTCTATAGAGCTTCTAAGAAGCTTCTCTAAAAGATATTATAAAATTAATCTACTTTTATCTACTTTTATCTACTTCTACCTAATTATATAGATATTTACTAGAGTACATATGTATATTTGTGATACAAGGTATGTTTAGATTGTATTCAATTGCATCAAGCGCCAATAGTATTGTGAGCAATGTTGCAACAAACAATGCAAAAGACATTGATAAAACATTCTTGGTAAAATATCTTTTGTAAAACAAATATCCATGATGAACCCAATTGCAAAGCCAATGATATTTATTATGAAATGTTGTACCTTGCCAAACTACTTTTTAATTTAATATTCATACCAATATTGCTATCATTAAATAGTGATGTAGTTTCTATTTAATTTGATAATGGATGGATCAAAATAATGTCAAGTGAGGTTGATTTAATATTTTCTTGTATATATACATTTATATATGTATATATATAAATATATATATTATTTATTTATTTAAATTTATAAAAATAAAATAAAAAATAAAAATATATATATATATTTAAATATTTAAATGATATTAAATTCAAATGATATTTAATTCTTTTAATTTATTTATTTAACTATTTTAGTAAAGTTAATGGAAGTGATAAATGTAACATTTTTTCATCTTTAATTTCAGATTCATCCATATATTCATCCATCCATATTGGACCCAAAGAAGATGAATGAATAGTAAAACGTATTCGAAAATATAATTTATCCAAATTGGCTTTGGAAAAAGCTAAAATCAGGATGGGATTTCCACCAAAGGAGCAGATTTGATGGGCCAGATGGAATTTTCTTCGAATTAACACAATTCCATTGAGGCTCGATCTCCGGGGGTGACGCTTCCTGGCCTCCAGTTCACATTGCGCAGGTCCCCCCGAGATTTCCCCAAGCGTCCGTGATTCCCCCGGTATTCCTGGCCGCAAGGGCTTTTCGTTTTATTAGCCATGGCCACTGGAGGGGACCCTTTTCGGCCGAGTGAGAGAGAGAGAGCTCCCCACCGAGTGAGTGAGAGACTGCTAGAGACTGAGACAGAGAGTTTCTTTCTTCCTTTCAATCTTTCTGCTGCTCTTCCATCCTCTCATTCCTCTGTCTGTCTGTCTCTAATCTCCCTCTCCCCCTCGATCCGGTGTGCCCCACATTATATTTCCATTACAATCATCCCATCTTGTTGTCACAATGGTGGGCGCGGCAGCGGTGGCGGTCTCAAGCGGCGTGGGAGTTAACTTGGGGGTTGCGAAGGGCATCAAGACGTCGAGGATTGCAGAATGCGAGGGATTGCACTTGCAGGTGTCCCTTCGCAAGGATTCGAGTGTAGCTGCTGCCAGGATGGTGGTGAGTAGCAGTGGGAGGCGAGGTGTGGGGGTGGTGAGAGCAGATGCATTGCCTTCGTCGCAGGAAGTGGCTGACAATGTGGCTGGGGCTACCGCTGTGTCGCTGGAAGAGGTAGCCACGGATTCTGCCAAGCCGAATTCGTCGAGCAACGGACCCATGTCGCCGAAGAAGGGCAGGAATGAGAATATCAAGGAAGAGGCGCGGCGGCAGTGCGCGGGCAGCTCGCCGACCACATTCTCGGCCAAGTATGTGCCGTTCACGCCTGGGATGGAGTCCGACGAGTCGTATTCCCTGGACGAGGTGATTTACAGGAGCAAGACGGGGGCCTTGCTTGATGTGCAGCATGACATGGAGGCTCTGAAGAAAGCGGGAGATGGCGCCTACTGGAGGAAATTGTTTGATTCGCGAGTGGGGAAGACCACTTGGCCGTATGGGTCTGGTGTGTGGAGCAAGAAGGAGTGGGTGTTGCCCGAGATTGATGACGACGACATCGTTAGTGTGTTTGAGGGCAACTCCAACTTGTTCTGGGCAGAGCGCTTTGGCAAAGAGGTTCTTACATCCCAATGGACGACTTGTTGCAAACTGAGTTTTTGAATTCCGGAATGTCGGATTTGGTGTTAGGTTATTTCGGAATGGATACGCTCTTCTAGTTGTGCTTGTTCGTTTACGGATTTGACCCTAGTTTGGCTATATCGGCCGTTCTTCCTACTAATCCGAAACTTGGAGTGTTCGTTTCTGAGCTTGTTTAGAGTATTTTGAGAGCATGTCAAGTGTTCTTCTTTATAGTCGACCAGAATCGCGTTAGGAAATTCAGCAACGTCCTCAAGGATCTGGAAAACTTTTGGCGTTGAAACTTGGCAAGCTGTGGGCGGTTGGTTTGTGTTGCTGTTATGAGTTTACTTGGTGCTTTTCGTACTCAGCAGTTAGCACTGTTCACTTGGCTATTTACTGTGTGTGTGAGAGCGAGAAAGTTTGAAAGAGATGCATAATAATTGGAATGCTTGCATTAGTCTACTTGGATTTTCTCCTTGAAGCCTGCGGATTGTCGTTTTGCCTTTTCCTTCTTTTTTTTTTTTTTTTTTTAGAATACTTGATCATGTCTTCTATCATGGTCGTGGCTTCTGAGTTTTCTGTGAATTTGATTCTCTAGCTGACCTTTATGCGAATGGAATCAGCATCCCCATTGTAAGTTCGCAGCAATCTCACTTATTTTTAACGAGCAGTTATTAATTACATGACTTTGAAACGGTTTTGCAGGAATTGGAGATGACTGATTTGTGGGTTAAGCACTGCGGTATTAGCCACACCGGCTCGTTCAAGGACCTTGGAATGACCGTGTTAGTTTCCCAAGTGAACAGGCTGAGGAGATTGGGCAAGCCTCTACTGGGTGTGGGTTGTGCTTCTACTGGAGACACCTCTGCAGCTCTTTCAGCTTACTGCGCTGCTGCAGGAATTCCAGCCATTGTCTTTCTTCCGGCAAATAAGATTTCTATTGCCCAATTAGTCCAGCCCATTGCAAATGGAGCTTTGGTGCTGAGCATGGATACAGATTTCGATGGGTGCATGCGGCTTATCAGGGAGGTGACCTCAGAGCTTCCCATTTACCTCGCTAATTCTCTTAACAGTCTTCGTCTGGAGGGCCAAAAAACTGCAGCCATTGAAATTCTACAGCAATTTGATTGGGAAGTGCCAGACTGGGTCATCGTTCCTGGAGGTAACCTTGGGAATATTTACGCCTTCTACAAGGGCTTTTACATGTGCAAGGAGTTGGGCTTGGTGGACAGAATGCCCCGACTGGTCTGTGCTCAGGCGCATAATGCTAACCCACTTTACAGGGCTTACAAGGACGGCTGGGAAAATTTTAAAGCTGTCAAAGCACTCCCGACATTTGCATCAGCTATTCAGATCGGTGACCCTGTTTCTATTGACAGAGCCATCTATGCTCTAAACCAGTGTGATGGCATTGTGGAGGAAGCAACGGAGCAAGAGATTATGGATGTCTGTGCCCAGGCAGACAAGTCTGGAATGTTTACGTGTCCACACACAGGAGTCGCTTTAGTCGCTCTTCAGAAACTGAGGGCTAGTGGTGTTATTGGTCCCCATGATAGGACCGTAGTCGTTAGCACTGCTCATGGGCTTAAGTTTACTCAATCTAAAGTAGAGTATCACTCTAGTGAATTGCCAGATATAACTAGCCAGTTTGCCAACCCTCCTATCTCGGTGGCAGATGACTTTGGTTCTATCATGGACGTCCTACGCCAAAAGCTCTCCTTGAAGGGTTAATACGAAGGATATTGGGGGTGCAAAAGTGTAGGTTAGCACTGGGTGTCTGTAAATGAAGATTGTTTGGCAATTCGGAGAGGCAAATACACTCGTCTGCACTGTCGAGAGGAACCTCTTCGTGGAAAAAGAAGTTGAGTTTTCCTGTTCACTGGAATTTATCCAGTTTTGACACAGTTCAGTGCGGTAATCTGGACCTGTTGAACACCGGTTTTGTAATGGATTGATAGAATTGAGGCTTCCATACAGGTCGCTCATTTGCAACGGCAACGGTCACTTGTACAATAGCCGGGACTTATTCCCTCGTGCTTACTTTTTAAAGGCTATCCTGTGTGCACGATGTCTGACAGGATAAGACTACTTTTCTCTTTTATGTTTTCAATTGATTTGTCACGCGTGTGAAAGTCGTTAGAGAAATAGCCATGCAAAGTTGGTCCTTGCGCGCTCTAATCCTTCTGGCTCTTCCTTTGTAATTCCCTCATGATTACATCTTACTACCGTCTTGTGAACCAGTGCATGAAGCAGGTATTACGAACAAATGTACTTGATTCATCTCTTGTACCAGGTACGTAGTGCGGTAAAAATGAGTTCGACACTTAATCTCACAACTTCGAAGCCTCTTTCCCATTGAGCAATATCCTGACGAAGTCCAAGACTTAATACGAACAGGGTATTAGATTTTTGTTCGTCAGCTCACTATTAATATCAGTTTCCCCTCGTCTGCCCCCAATAAGCAAAGATGACCCAAACTGTGTAGTAGTTGGAGACACTTACTCCATGCACATGGTTGCCACATATCAAAGCTTCCTCGTATCTACACTAAAATTACCTGAACCCGAGCACAGCCGCAAATGCACTGTCCTTGAACCAAACCATAGTCTCAAATCCAACAACTAAAACCGTAAACCATCTTGACTGACTACTCAAGCCAGGATGGTCTTCCCAAGCACAAAAAGCGTCGAAGTGAAGGTGATGACAAAGATCATGTACAGAAACCCTCTGTCCAGCACAAATCCGTATAAAGATATCCCGGCACGAGTATGCTGCAAATACGTAACCAGTGCCTGCCTCTTTTGGAACGCTTCCAAGTCATGCGACAGCGTCTCCTGAAATAATAAATCCCTGGTGGAGGCCTCCAAATCCTCAGAGCTATTGCCCCTGTTGTGCAGTAGCGGATGTGCAGGGCCATACATGGAAGTTCGGCGATTACTCTCAGTGGGTTCTATGATAACGCTCGGGCTACAAGTCGCAAGAGCATGCCATCTGCTTACACTGGCCACAATGTGCTGTGCTTTATGGGTGATTTTTGCTGCTCCTTGCAGACACAGCACCAAGCCTGTGAGTTGCACCAGCGAGCAGACGGCCAGGTCTCCAGCGCGGAAGAAGCTGATCGACTTGGCAGATAACAGGATCTGAAAGAGGGAGCTCAATTGGCTGAAAATGATGGTAAAAAGTGCGAGGATGAGGAACACACGGAACCTGTGGCTGATAGTTGTGAGCTGGTTGCGGATCTTCATGTGCTCTTTGAGGATAATGGACACCTCGGAGGTCAACTCCAAGAGTTTGTTGTAAGCCCTGAGCCTGAGGATTTGGAGGGAGCACATGAGTCTGAAGAGGACGCACATGAAGAGGAAGACGCTGGTTCTGTACAACCATGAGAGGATCGATGCAAACAAGAGGATTGCATTGATCTTGGGGACATCTGCGAGGAATGGAATGTCGATGGTCACGCAGTAGTACCACCAGGCTCTGTGCCCTAACTCCACAAGAAACGTTGGCAGCAGCATCCACGCAAGCAGTGAAAAGGCAGTTTTAAGCTTGACTTGAAATCCTTCCTGTACTTCAGAGGGCTCCTTCACAATCTTATCCAGGAGAAGCGTTCTTCGTAATCCGAATCTGCGGAGGATGTGGGAGAGAGTGAGAAATGAGACGGTGGCAAGCACAGTCTCCGAGGCTTGCACCAGCTTCTCAAACGGATGTTTCCGGCTCTCGTCACAAGTGTCGCACGAAACAAAGTTGAAGTTGAAAATAGGAACCACGACAGCAAGCAAGACGAAGAGGATCCGCGACCATATGACGCTGAAGATGGTGGACTGGTCGAGCCCTAGCCATGCCAACCCGGACCGAAACTGCACTAACTCATCCCTCGGGTTGGACGACATCCGACGGTATTTGCTTTCAAGCTTAGAAGATGGATCGAAGTCATCTTCCGACTCCGAAAAATGCACTCCTTTCACAATAAACGACTCTTCCGCATCATGCTGCAGCCTATCTTCAACAAAACCCGCCCGAGAGTCATGAGCCTCATACACCTCCTCCATATCTCCACGTCGCACCACCAGTGTCCCAAAGCCTCACACCTTCACACTCAAACTGCTACACCTACACGCATTTTAATCACCAAATCCCAATCACAATCACTCAGCTAAATCCACCAGATCACAGACACCAAACCCACAGAATCTACACAAAAAAAAATCCAGTCACCCACACCACACACTCTCCTCCAAGTCTTCAATGCAACCCTCCAATCGCACACCGAATCTCAACTCACTAGCTCCGACAAGTTGCATCGAAACGAGATCTCACATCTAGATCAGCAGCAGCAGCAGCAGCACCGACATCGACCTACGAAGCCCAGCCAGTCGGGGGTCTAGCCTACACTGTCGACCAGCGCACATCCAGCCACACCATCCCCAAGGGCGGCACTGCAACACAGTATCCGAGAGTGTAGGTTTGGCCCCGTAGAGGCTCCGATGTGGGGAGGCCACAGGCAACAAATTGCGAGTCAAGGATGGAGTTGGAGCAAGAGCAGGGGCAGGAGGACCCATTCTCCGACTCCGTCTCCGAAAGCTTGGCAAAGCTGGTGGCTGCTTGACCAGTTCCTTCGTCACGCAAGGCATCTCCCTTCTTCCCCCCTCCTCGCGACAAAACCGGGCTCAATTTCATGCTGTGCCTGGTGGGAATAAATTGAGGATTTAGAGGAAATGGCAACATGGGTTCTTGCCATTGGGTCTTTTTCCAACAATTGTGGATCCAAGGTGGTGGTTTCAGGACAAAATTTGTAGCTTTTTTCAATTGTTTTGAGGTTATGTGTGATGGTGGTGGTGTGGGTTGAGTATGTTTTACCAAGTGTTTTGAGGTGTTTGAATTTGATGCGACTGCGTGGAGTTTCTGGCGTGTTAGCTTTGTGTTGATGGGTGGAGAAGTTGGAGTGTTAAAGAAGTGCGGCACAAGTGTAAATGTATTAAATGAATGTGCTGCGTTGCTGTATGTGAATTTCGGCACCTTTTGTTTGTCTTTAATATTGATTAATTTCAAAATGTGAATGAGACTCAACTTTTTTATGGTCTGGTTTTTCACAATGATTGTTTAATTCAATGTTGTGTCAAAAAATATCTAATTTTTTTGACTAAGTTCCTGAAGCAACACCCCCATGTTGTTAATGCAACACCCCCTTGGGTTCTCAATTGCTTCAATCTATCCCTATCCTCATCTCCAATCCTTGTCTTAGTCTCAAATCCTTGTCCTAGTCTTAGACCCCCATCCATATTCTCTATCTCCAATCCCCCATTCCTAACCCATGTCCATGTTCCAACCCTCCTATCTCCATTCCTAGCACCCATCCTCCATTTTTGTTCCTTGTCATTGTGAATGGCAATAGTAACCTTGAGCAAAGATGTTTTTTATAAAATTGTTTTGTGATTAAAACATTGTGATATTGCATTGCAATTTTTTATTTGCAATTAAAAGATAATACATCTTTTTTTAATTTAAACATTGTTGAATTACTTGATTATGTTTTGTGTTCATGTAGAATCTAAAATCTTTAGCTGAAATTTAAAATGTGCAAGTCTTTTGAAGTAGACATCATGTATAAATCCATGGCTTAAGGCTTTGGGGTTTAGGATTGGTTTTCCAAGTAAGAAACATGAATTGCTTTAAAAGTTGTATATCTTTTCTTATAAAATAGAAACAAAAATATAGGACATGCATTGGGAATGGAGTTGGGGGATTGCCCACTAAGGGCACAGGCTAGGAACAAGGAGGGGGAACAAAGGATAGACTAATTTTATCATAAGGATCCAAAGAGGTGTTGTATTAAGAACATGAAGATGTTGCTTTAACAACTCTTGTTTTCAAAAAATTGTAATTAATACTTCTATATATTTTTGTGTATTTTAGTGTTTTGTCTAACATGTATTATTTTTAGTATTTAACATTCAAGAACTAAGATGGAGTAATTTGAGCATATTCAGCTTAAGATGGTGAACATTTGTAGGATCAACATTCTTTTGTTGTGTAAAAAACAAAGAATGTTGTTATAAATAAATCTAACTAGAAACAAATGAAATATTTTGATGGTATAGAATATCTCATTTAAGAAGTTGGTTTATGAATTTAATTTATATAATTAGTTGTTGAAAAAACAATATAAATAATAAAAAGAGGATTAATGTTCACTTTTAACACAAAATTGTTATTGTTTTGTTGTGAAACAGAAACAAACCACAACTCTAAAGTTTATACATTATTATTACAACATTACCAGTAGTTTCAGTTTAAAAATAAAACAAAATTCTGAACTTTTGTTTGTGATCCTGTGGTGGCAATGTGCAAACTGTACAAGATTGTAAATTCAATTCACAAATACAAATACTGCATCAAAACCCTTGACAAAAAAAAGACATTTAAAATAATTTATTTAAATAAAAAAAATCATATTTATTACTTTTCAAGGTAGACAGCAGTTTTTAAATAATTTATATATATATATATATATATATATATACAAAAACAATACCAATGAGCAATTAAATGAGAAAGTTTGTCATACAATAGAAATCTTTGTTGATGGTTATCAATGTGTGCTGAAACATTATGTATTTTTTGCATTCAAACTATTTATCTTGAATGAAATTTTCCATACTTACACGGGCCAATGAGGGTTATGGTTCAAATTTATTTCATTTGAAAAATATCTGAGCAATGAATCTAATAATTTACTTGTGAACTAATGATCTAAAATTACATATACAAGCTTTGTAAAAGTAGGTGTGAGATAGTAGATTATTTCAACAATTTTTTTATAATAATCTAAAATAGAAGCTAATGTGAGGTGTGTATCTTTTTTGTAATGTATTTAAATAATTTTTTGGAGTATGTGTAATAATACCACGCATTTTAAAATAATACCAATTATATTCATAGCAACAAGTGCATCATTTTTTTATTGTTGTATTTTAGAAACGTCAATGGATTAGTTTAATGTCCAAAAACCTGGATAGATTTATCATAAAGTTTTGATTTTATAATATAAATTATTTGTTGTTTGCTTAAAACTTATTCTACCTTGTGCCATTTGTCAATTTCCAAAATTTTATTTTTTCATATCATCCAAATTTTTTTATTTCATTTACTTATTTATTTATGCACTTTAAAATAATTTTATTTTAAATTTTTTAGTCCAAAGGTTTTTCAAATGTTCCAATATTATGTTAAAATTATTTGTGTGATTTTAGAAAATTGTAAAATATTTTATTGGTAATTTTTACTCAATTTTTGTTACAGATGAAAAATAGTATTTTATTATAATGATGATTTTAAAGTTTTTGAACACAGTGAACAAAATGCATTGATTTGTCTATATGAGCACTTTACTCGTGTTTGCACATTGTACACCTGCTTTTAAACCATTATTTCATGCAATTTTTTTGGGAAGATGGAAATATCAACAAACATTGATGCATCACCCACATGCCATTTCATCATCTATCCTATTTTTAAGGATGCAGTTAATGCATGAGGACCTAATCCAGTTAAAACAGATGTGAGAAATTACTGTATGTATGTATGAATATATATATATATATATATATATATTTCATTGTGAGTGTAAAGAATATAATCCCACCTTCAAAAATAGAGACAATACTACCATCTCCCATAAGCTTTACTTCTGCATTGTATTAAGAGTGCTATTATTATTATTACTACTATTATTGTTTTTGTGTGTTTTGAAATCCTTCCAACCAAAGATCAATGCATTGTAAAAACAATTCTCGCTTTTGTTCACATCTGTCTTTTTCACTGTGTCAGGATCTCATAAATTTGCCACTGCTTAGTCTTAAAATAAATTTATTAATGACCATTGATTTTCCTCTATGAATGACTTCCAATTTGAACTACATTTGTGAAGTTACTTCTAGAACTTAGTAAACATGTGGTCATAGATTCAAATATAGAGTGAATTGACTTTATTCAAAAACAAAAAATAGAATATGGAGACTTTTCAGTGGGAATTGTGCATGCTATAATTGGATCAAATTCTCGGACAAGCACACACCAGTAGGGATTTCATTCTTTTTTTCCTCTCTTTTTTCAACTTTCAATATACTTTTTGTTTCAATGCCTCAGATCTCTCTGAACAAATTGTTGAAGACAAGGACGCGTAATTTTAGCAAAACATAAGCAAAGAAATTGTTTTCAAGTAAAAATAAAGAAAGACATCTGCAGTCTATTCCTCATGGAGTGCGAGTTTTTTTCTCAAGGCTTACCCAAGTCCAGTTGTGCGACACAAAAAACTACGCTAAAGCTACACTCAAGTCACAAATCCGGAATCGTGGTTTGTAGTCGTCTTCGTAAAGCCAGTTCACTGATTTGAGCACCTTGTGTTGAATAAGCTTGCAATAACTCGCAGAATCGATGGTGACGAAATCATCTAGCTTCACGATTGTTGAGAAGCAAAACCATGAGTACCATTCTCTATTCTTGAAAGGCTGTCCAAGCAACCCTGACACAAGGCAGCATTCACACGGATGGATGAAACAGTCCAAAAGAAACCGGGAAATCAGATATCCCCATAGATTTCTGATAGCTAAAATGTTTAAGTGGAAAAATGGCCAGATGATCACATGTCATATCAAAACTTAAAAGCTTACAAGGATAAAAGAAAAATTATGACTTGGAACTTATTCATTGTGCTAACAGCGATTTGAAAAAACCTCCCAGTACCTGGAGAATGCATAACGCAGACATTTTGTCGACAATGTTTTTCCTTCGCCGCCCTGTGATGTCCATTGACCCTATCACATTCGTCACTGCCTGCGGAAAAAGTAGTCCAACCGACTCACTTGGGTGAGCTCTCCATTAGTGCTCACACGATATCCAAAAGAGACCCTCTGAGCCTGACCCATCGCTTAAAGACAGAACAGAAAATGGTCCAGGAAATGATGCGGCTCAACCAAGCTTCCGTTATAAGGATGTACTTTAGGGGAAACGAAGTGCTCAAAGGAATAAAATCTAAAATGACGTTCTGGAGAAATTGCAACTGAAATGACAAGCTGAACTTGATTGAAAACCATGAGAAGCACATTTTTATTGATCACTCATAATTATCTACCCATTAAGTTCGCAACCCTTGCACTCCTAAAAAAACATTAGGAATCGACAGCCTCCAAAAGTTATCTTAAAATTGCCCGGTACGACTTAGATTTCTGTAGTACACAATGAACACAAGCACAAGGTTCTTCCTAAGCATCAAGGTGAAATGAATATTGAAGTAGTAGTGTATATTAGAGTTTAGGATTTAGGCCAAGAGCAAAGAGCTAAGAATATCGTTGGCATTCTGAGGAACCTTAACGTCACCACATCGTGTTGAAGGAGCTTCGAATTGCGTAGATATTCAGAATCAGGTATGGAAATTACCACAGAAGTAAGCCGCTCGTCCCAGTATACATAGGCAAGGTTTGGGAAGCGACCGCTCATTTGAAGCTCTTTCGCGAAGAGTTTCACTTGTGCACCCTTGAGACATCGACGTGACAGTCACATGCAACATTAGTGCTAAAACATGAATTTGACGACGACTTGACGGACAAAAACTACAAACCAAGGATTCCCCAGAAGACTTATTATCAATAAGTCTATCCAGGCCCAGACCTCAGTTATTTCATTAAGACCTACAAATACTGAGAACATTAGAGACAAAAAATAAGGGCTTATCGACTATATGCCAACTAGGCGATTGGACAATTTCCACGACAAATCTCAGCCAGAGAACGATGACACCAAGAAGGTGCTCACAGATGTATCCGCGAGCTTTACATTTAGTTACAAAATAAATATTCTTTGAAGCTCAGTAACTGCATGCGCATATCAAATGACTATAGATTCAGTAGATTTGACTTGATGAACTTCAGAACATAGACAAAAATGATCATCTTACCTGCTTTCCCTGAAAACCAGTCAATTCGAGAGGGTAGCCTATCACCAACCCAGTGATGTTCATTTCTTGCACCTGTTGTAAATTCAAAACTAAATTAAAACCAAATTAAATAAACTAGCTTGATAATACAAAAAAATTGTGAATTTCCAACTCCAATATCAAAATCCTTTCCACTATTACTTAATCCTGCAAAAATAGCTGTCAAAAGACTCCCCCAGGATAAGCACACCTTTAAATTTCAACTCTAATCGGAGCAAATGCAAAAATGTAAAAATTATCGGTCATCTTCTCAAATTCTTCGTACACACGGAATATCATATAAAAGGAAAAGCAAACAAACAGTCATATAGCGTTCTGAAAATGTACCAAGCTTTCTAGCCGGCTGATGTTTTTCAGTGTTGTGGTATTACTTCGATACATCACACTACACAAGATCGACAATCACCAATCACGCTACTCAGATGGCTTAACAAAACCGAAGCAGTATAACCTAAACATCAATATGCAGAGCCAGAGCAGCCGACATGATGGCACATTTTCATGGTGCGAAACAACAAAGGGAAATTCGCACCTATGGGGCGAGGCAATGCGACACTTGGGATCCGATACTGCCAAGCCTATGTTGCGGCTACCCACATCAAGCCCCAGCAAACGTCCCCCGCTGCTGAGGCGCTGAAAGAGCTGTTTCAACGACACGAGTTCCATAACTGACCCCCCACAAAACAAAATTCAACTAGTGGAGAAGATTGTGACGGCTTCACATTGTGATGGGCAAGGAGGGCAGCATGGCGAGCATCGATGAGAGTCTGAGGAAGAGGGTGGAATCTGAAGAGGGATTAGGCGATTTGCTTCTTGCCACGGGCCCTTCGGAGCTGCGCCGCTTGCTAAACCCTTCCCCCTCCCTGCTGCTCTCTGCGATCTTATTCTTCATTCCTTGTTCATCCTCTGTTCGTTAGCTTTTCTCGCGTTTGTCGATCGTTAATTAGTTCGTTTTCTCGTTCGTTTGTTCCGCTGTTCGTCGAGAACAGGAGGATTGCCCTCTTTGTGGAACGTCTCTATGTAGCCTTGATTCGCAGTTTCACATCCCACTGGAAAGTTGGTGCGTAGTTGCTTCTCTTGGCCTTGCAGTATGTGTTGGTGCAACAGAACTCTTTATTCAAGAGAAGCGGAATATACACGGCAGCGTGAAAGTGCAAATCAAAGTCCTAACCTACTTCGATTTATACACTTGTGGTCAGACTAAGAACAGGTTGTCAACCTTCACAAGGATATCAGCTTCTAGACAGATACATGAGAGCTGAGCACGCACTTGTACTAATACTCCCTCTCGTGCGAAGTTCTCATCGACGTCTTATGTGAAGTTAACAGGCTTCTGTTGCCTCACTTCGCTCCTATGTTAATCAATTTACAGTGGTACTGACAAACTTACTATTCTATTTAGTTCTATACATTAACCTCAGTACGGTTCTAACACATACTGCTTGAGCTAATTATGCTGAGCATCTGGTTATTTAGCTTTCGCTTAAACGTGTTGTCAACTAGGTTTATAACTTTCTGTATGAGCTGCTTGAGGAAAGATTCTTATGTTTTGGAGATGCCAAAGAAAGTCCTTTTTGTCTTGAAGAACATGTAAATCCTAACGTTGAAGGTTAAGGTTTATTTCAACTTGGAATGCTCACTTTCCTTCATATTCTTCTTTGTTTACAACTGTAAAATCTGTAAGGTCAAAGTCTAAGTATTATACTATGAGAATAGGCAATATAGCTATACCATCTTTTTCTCAAAGATATGCAAGCCCTAATATATAAGTTTAGGGGTTTAGAAAGTAAATGTGCTTCTTATGCACTTGTGGAAATAAAATACATTGTATAATGTTGTGCTTCTTTGCTTTCTCTAATAAAGCATTGATGAAGTTTAATATGGTTTATTTAAACTTGTAATACTAGATTGTGAACCAATCAAGTGTATAACTAATTATCACTATAGATACGCATTGAATCAGTAGAACAAATATTCAATTTTTACATCACTTTTTAAAGATAAATAATGTCTTTTGCAGCTTCTAAGAATACTCCATATTCATCTTCTATTGTCAAGTGTGTGACAATAGATTGAAGTTTGTTGATTCAATCAATGGCAGTAGCTCCAAACTTGTGAAGTATTCCAAAAGTAGACTTCTTTGCGACTAAATTTCTTGCAATATTAGCATTTGTATATGTCAATTATATTGGTTCTTTTGACTTATTTCATACAGAAAAATATAAATCATAATCTCAAATTCCTTTCAAATATTTGAAAATATGTTTGAATAGCTTAAGATCAATTTCTTATAGCTATGCATAAAATTAGATAATATTGCAAATAAAAAAAAAATATCAAATCTTATATTTGTTGCCTATAAAAGACATCCTACCATTTCTTTTTAAAATATTTGATTACAATATGGAGTATTCATATCTTTTAATAGAACTTGACATAGGTTTATAGAAATTTTAATTGTTGTACAATCTTTTATTTTAAAATATTTTAATAACTATTAAATATAAGAATGTTGATGTAACTATAATGCCTTATTTGTTTATATATTCTTTGCTTGTAGATATAATTGAGCCAATTCTAAATCGATTGTTTTGAATTCCTTCATTAATTATGTTTTTTTTCTATTAATTCTTTTCAAATAGATTTTTGCTAATAACATATCATCAAAATATAGCAATATATATATATATATATATATATATATATATATTTTTTGTGTAGGAGTAAAAACATATTAGGATTTAATATTGTATTACATGAATTCTTACTTGAGAATGTATCAAGCACTTGGTTGCAAAATATAAATTGAAAATTGCAACAACAAGATCTAAATAATTCTAGTAGAAGCCTAAATAAACTCTAAGTTAATCTTAAAAAATATAATAAAATCTTAATTAAATCCAAAAGAAATCTTCAAGAAATTGTAAAAATATCAAAAATAAAAATTCTAAAAAAATAACTAGGAAATCCTAAAGAAATAATAAAAATAGAAATCCTAAATAAATCCTAATAAAACCTTAATATAGTCTTAAAAAAACCCTAAAAAAGCTCTAGTAAAATCCTAAGTAAACTCTAAAAATCCTCTAATTAAATCCTAAACAAATTTTAAACAAAACCTAATTAAATCCTAAGTAAATAGTAATAAAATATTAAAAAAATTCTAAAAAAATTTCAAATAAATTTTAATAAAATTCCTATACTTACTTTGAATTCTAAAAAAAATTAATTAAATTATTGAATTCAACTAAAAATATTTATACATTCTAATCTTTTATCAAATATCAAGTATACAAAGTTTAAAAAAAATTGAGTTTACCAATTAGAAGAGGGAGCTCTTAATACTCTTAGATATCAATTGTCATTTTTTTCCAATCCAAATTTTGATCTTCATGCAACAATTACTTCTTTTTGAATTATTCAATTTTTTGCAAATTTACAAAAATGTAGGTAACGAAGCTCATAATGCTTTTACAAATTTTTGCTTTAATCAAAATAGTTTTTTTTTAAGATTTCAAAAAATCTTACTTATTTTCAAATTCAAATATCTGAAACCCTAATCCAATAAAACTTCTATATCCTTAAATTTGACCATTTGATTGACTTAAAATTTATAAAATAAAATAAAGATAAGCATAAAAATAAAAATAAAAAATTTTACTTATATACTTGCTATAATATCCAAAAATTCTTTAAATATGTAAGATTCTTTTTATCTTTCAAAATCCAAAACCTCTATATACATCTTTTACTTTGAAAAGCTTTCAAAAACTAAATATGCTTCTTAATCACTTAGAATTAATGCTAAAAAAACCTTTTAATTTTTTTTTTTCAAATTCTACTCTTTAATATGCAAAAATAAACTCTAAAATTATTGTAAGAGTATAGTTTTGTGTCTCAAGATTTTATTTTTATTCTATTTCACAATTGGTCCTCTTTAGGTATCAATTCTTAATTTATTAAGGTAAATTTTTTAAAAAATATTCTTAATTTCCTTCTAAAAATATCCATATTATTTATATTTCCAATCTACTTTGTTTTGCCTTATTTATGGCCATACAAAGTAAGTAGAATTCATTTTTTTACAAAATGGCAACATTAATATTAAAAGTTTTTGCTACCTTCTTATCCTTTATACATGTTTTATTATTATATCTTTCAACTAGGCTCTCTTCTATAATAGAATCTATAATTTTATCTTTTACCATATAATTGTATAATAACAAAATACTTTTTTGTTCTTAATAATCCTTAATTTTTTCATATTTTCATCAATTCTTAAGTATCATATTCTCACTACATGTTTATATCCATAAATTTTTTTTCTCAACTTGAAAATATTTTCTTCATTATTTTTTGATATGAATTCAAAAAAATTATGTGTATTTTTTCTTCTAAAATTCTATTCAAAAGGATAATTTTAATGTCTAATTATTGTATGTTTTAGTTTTTAATTAGGATCAATATTAAGATCATTTTAATTATTGACCAACAAACAATTCAAAAAAACATTTCATAGAAATCTATTCTGAGTACTTCTTTAAAATCTTGTACTATAATTCTTACCTGTAATTTTAGTATTTTTTTTGTAGAATAATTTTAGTATAATAAATCCACTTAATTGTAATAACATTTTTTTTTTAGAAAATTAACAATAATTTCAAATATAACTCTTTAGGATAGATTTTATTTCTTGTGACATTGCTTCAATCCACTTAGTGTTTTAGCTTGCTTCTAAATAATTGGCTGGCTCACCATTATCTATATCTATAAGGTATAAATAATAGTTTCTTAGTTTTATCAAAGATGCCATTTATTTATTTGAAGTTCTCATAGTATGAGGTCTTTTTTCAAATAAATTATCACTAGATTGCTTTGATATTTTATAAAGTTGAGATACATTTGGTTGAAAATCATCTTTTTTTTGTATGCCTTGAATTTTCTCATATAGTACTTAATTATTTTTTAAATCCATCACTAGTCGCTCTTCACTCAGCCAAGTGTCGAATTTTTAAAATTAAATTGTATGATATTATTAGATTTCTTTAGAGATACATATAATAGTCTAAGTTTTTTTCATCAAAAATAATATCTTAGTTAATAATAATCATGTATTTTTTTAGTAAATAAATTTAACATGCTTTTATTTTTAGATTATAGTAAATAAAAAATCTTTTAAAAAACTTGATTTTTATTTCATTTTTATTGTCTTTTGAAATGTGCAAGTATGCCAAATAGCCCTTTATTCTTAAATGACTAATTTAAAGCTTCTTTTATATAAACAATTGCTTGGTTGTAATTCCCTTGTTTATACACATTGCATCTTTATTAATTAAGTAAGTTTCTATTATAGACATCCAAAAAGAATATTTTAGGAATATTCTTAAAATATTTTATTATATTTTAGAAGATTCTAAAAGATTCTAAAAATATTCTTAGAAGGTTTTAAAAGATTCTTAGAATATTTTAGCAAGTTCTAGAAAGTTTTAGGAAGATTGGAAAGTTGTTTGAGAAGTTTTTTAGGATTGCTTTATCTTCAAGCTGTATGAAAACTTTTTAGGAAGCTTCCTAAGATTGCTTCATCTTCAAGAAACTTAGAAACTTCTTGAGAAGCTTCTTAAGCTTATTTCATCTTCAATCAATATAGAAACTTCTTGAGGTGCTTTATAATATCTACTATATATTGGAATTAAAGCTAAGAAGATCCTTAGTCTCAATAATACATCTCTTAGAGCTTAGCTTACATTTCTTGGTATTGATTATGTACTCATCTAATTTAATTAAGTTCTTGTTAGTTTTCTTGTTAAAACTCTTCAGTTCAACTTCTTATTTGGTTTCTTATGTAGAGTATTTGTGAGAGTT